TAATAATGTAACTTGAACTAAACTCAGAATTGTGGTATACTCACTTGCTGATTTCTTCACTGTTTTCAGTTGACACCTGCTTCTCAGCACTGTCACTGGACATATCCACAGAGCTTGACACCTGCTTCTCAGCACTGTCACTGGACATATCCACAGAGCTTGACACCTGCTTATCTGTAATGACATCAAAGTACATGTACCATCATTAAAAATGTATAAATCAGCTATACAAACAAGTGATATCAGACGACAGACTCATAATATAAAGTGGTTTCATATCAGAAAATAAGGCTGGTGTGAACCTGAAATATTAAGGCCAGCCTAAACAAGCCATGCATGGCACGGTACCTGTTAGTTATCAAACTTAAGATATATAATTTTGTTTATAGTAATATAGTTCAAACATAAACATGTCAGAGACATGACATTCAGTCATCTTGTATCTGATCGTCAAACGAATACTTGTCCATATTGAGAGATATTGCTGTGGAACAGCATTAATTAAAACAAAATAAGCACTAGTCGTCCATTTCAAATACATCTGTATATCTATAACATGAATGAATATATAAAATTTGAACATAATCAGTCAAATCATGTCAGAGATACGGCTCTAGAACCACATTCTTTAAAACAAAATGGCCAACCATTTTGAATCAGATTTGAAAAATAAAATGACGTGCATCAGGGACTCATAATGTCTTATGTATGTACCAAGTTTGAACAAAATCTATCCATAAACGACCAAGGTCCAGTTCCACAATGCCAGAAGTGCTTGATTTCTGATGATTTTTTAGCACAAAAATGGATGCCACTTGGCCATTTTGAATCAGATAGTCAAACAAATATATACATCTATACATCTATGAGATGAATATATAAAACTGCATTCATTAAAACAGAATGGCTGAATTCGATCTGAAAAACAAAATAATGTGCATCAATTGCATAATGTCCAACGTATGCACCAAGTTTGAACAAAATCCATTAATAAATGCTTGATTTTGATGATTTTTCAGCACAAAAATGGATGCCATTCAACCATCTTGAATCAGATCGTGAAACAACTTGATATGCATATGTATAATATTATGTATTATATATGTGTGAAGTTTCAATGGAATCAGTCCAGGCATGTCTAAGATATAGGTCTGAACTACTTCCGAACAGGGACTAATAAGACATGCCTGAGAAAGAGTGCCAGGGCCGGCTGTAATTTTAATCCCCAAGTTATGCCAGCCTAACTACAGTATGACCAAGTGCCATATTACATAATCACCACTGCGTTGACTAAATATGCAAATTAGATTCATGAGCTTTGTTGCACTGTCTCAAAATCAATGAAATCATTGATCGTTATGTGAAAGAGAAAGTTAGCGATTTTTCCTCCATGTCCTCAAAACTATTTGTGTCATTATTTTCTCATTCTAGTGATAAGTCTCACCACTGTCACTGAATTTTTGCTCAACAGTTCAAAACAAACCATATCCCAAATCAAATTGAAGAGTTCATTTGTGTCCACTCTCCTTGACATCCATGACTCAAATTGATTGGGAGAACTCCAGCACGATTAAAACTTTGAAGTGAAATAACACACTGTTGAGTCTGTCACGTTGGACCCTTCTGACGTAACAAATCTGCATTCCAAAGAAATGAAGGCGCTTGTAAAAACAAACCAAATTGGAATCAAACACAAAATTTGGGCCAGCCCTAGGTAAGCTAAATGTCACACATATATATCACCCCTGATGTCATGGACTGATTACCCAATCAACAAGTAATTACATTACAAATATATCAACTGAATATTCTATCAACATTTCTGTAAAGATTGTATCTATGTAGAACTGTATCAATTCTAATGGTGATATTTCTGCCAATTTAAAAAACCATCAGCAGCCGTAACTGCAAATCCATTGAAGTGTTTAGATGTCATGTTAATTAGCACATGATTCAAAGGTGTATAAACTCGTAGCTCTGTTTTTTTGACACAGTTGGTCATGTGACATAATGGACTGTATGATCTACTCAACTTGGTTCATAGATTATATTAGCCAATCCCTTACCAAACTGTTTTTTTGTGGCAACTAGTTCGCACGCTTGTGGCAAGCATAGCGCAAGCATATTTGATTGCCAGAACATTCTGGCAACTAGTTGCCGATCATTGCCAGTAGTGGCAATCATTCTGGCAACTACTTAGTTATTTGTGGCAACATTGCCACGACACAGAGTAAACATAATTTTGTGGCAACTATGCGGCAAAAGTGGTAATTTATAGAGTGGGCATAAGTGTATATATATCTTAGCCGTAAGTAAATTGAATATGTATTTAAAATCTTTCTTTATTACGCATCACATTTGACTTACAAATTACAAACTTATACTGAATTCAAAAAATATATTGTCAGAAATTAAATGAATGAAAAATGTACTAGCCCAATATTGTATAAGCATGCAGCCTGTCGGCTGATATAGCTCCGCTGCATACTCTGAAAGTAATTTGATCCAAACTGAAGACACTGTTGCAAAATCTTATGGTGGTAAACCCAAGAATGCACTTACATTAATAAACTATTCAGTTAAGCTGTTTTCAAGAAAATG